AGTTAATTTACCAAAGACTATTTGACAAGTGTTATCAGGCTTCCCATTTCAAAAAATCATCACATTTAATACTCCCTTTAGCCATAGCCTTTAAATTTGAATGTCAGTTAATACTACCTTGTATTTGCATAGCGTGAAGCCATCTTTTTCACTTCTCATTTTACTTTACAATATTCTTGATATGAAAAACAGCACTAGTAAGGGTTACTACCTCCATTTTACAGACGATGAAACTACGACTTAGAAATTAAGCAACCATTCCAAAATGACAGTGAGACTGACTGGAGACTGGGCCAAGTATCCCAGTTTTCAGATAATTAGTTTAGGGCAGGGGTGGGCAAACTTTTTGACTCAAGGGCCACAATGGGTTCTTAAACTGGACCGGAGGGCCGGAACAAAAGCATGGATGGAGTGTTTGTGTGAACTAATATAAATTCAAAGTAAACATCATTACATAAAAGGGTACGGTCTTTTTTTTTTTTTAGTTTTATTCATTTCAAACGGGCCGTATCCGGCCCGCGGGCCGTAGTTTGCCCACGGCTGGTTTAGGGTGTTTTGCCTTTCTAGTTTAAACAGGTAAAGCCTAGTAGAAAGTTAAAAAAAAAAAATAGGTTTAAGAAACTCAAAGTCTTTAAAGAACAGACGTGAAGAATTCTTACACAGGTCCTAGGTATATTTGGCCACCTTCTGTTAAAGGTGGAAAAATTCCAGGTATCGCAAAGACATAAAATCATGAGTGGGCCTGACAGCAGGAATAAAGTCTAATCCCCTGCTCCACCAATTTGTCCAGGCTGTCTCCTGCAGGGTTTAAGTAAAATTACTATGGTGCTTTAAAGGGTTATTCATTATACCATAATGGCATAATGAATAACTAATATCAGGGTGCTCAAATGGTCTCCTTTTTATTTCTTATTCACTGAGGTATTATAAAGGCAAAAGTCCTCAGCTTTAAACTCTATATTACGAATAATAGATGAACTATGTAAGTACAGTTTTGAATTATTTATAGCTCTAAAACAGTTTAGAGAAGCATTACATCATCATAGATGATAAAAATGACTATGATATATACAAAATTGAATTGGAAGTCACACATCTGTAATAAGTATTCCCAGCCAGTTTATATATAAAAGGAATCTTCCTTTTCCATGTGAAGCCTTTTCATTTCCCTCAAGTTGTAAGATTACTGGCTGGAAAGATGGGAAGAAGGGAAAGCACTGTTCAGAGTCCGAGCAGCTGCACCAGGGAGAGATGTTAGCAGCTGTTAATGGCACAGTTTTCCTTTACTAGGGGCATCAAGGCAGTAGCCAGCTAATTCCCTCTGCCATAGGAAGGGGTTTGAAGATCAGTTAGACAAGGCACTAGGACCAATTGGTAGAATGTATCTGATTTTTGGCCCAACTTCTTCATTCTACTCCCACATCTTAACCGGTTACAGGCATGAAATATAGTAACCAGGAATATAAACTGCCTCATCACATTTTTTTTTCTCATCACATTTTTAATAGCACTTTAAATGCACTGAGTACCTTGACATATTTTCACAGAAGTGGAATCTTTCTCAGTTTGTGAGCAGTTGCTGTCCATTTCAGAGCCACATTCTAAATTGTCAACATGCAAAGGTTCCTTCCTTTCCCCAACTTCTACTTTTGTTATTTCCTCAGATTCTAAAAAGGTATTCTCACACCTGTGTTCTGCTTCTTTGGTCGAACATAATTTGTTTATGATGCCAGAAGTTATTTGTTCAAAACTAAAATTTGATCCCGAACTCAATGATTTTTCTTTTACAAGTCTCTTTTCTTCCTTGGTCACATTGATGGTCTTGTTGCTTGCTCTGGAATCAGAAATGCATAAAGTTCTATCAAGCTGACTTTCTTGTGCAACAGGTTCACTTTCAGCTTCTGCCTTATTATGCACAGATTCTCTTTTTCTATTACTTTGAACAGGATCTGGAAAACTCTTCAGGCACCCTGTTTTAGTTTTCTTAATTTGAATTCCTTTCAAAGTAGTCATCTTCCCTTTGGACTTTCTAACCTTTCTGGAATCAACATCATTAACACTGTCACCTTCTTTCAAAAGCAAATGCATGGAAGTGAAGTTAGATAGTTCCCTGCTATCTTGGGATTCCAAACTACCATTTGGCAGAGGAAACACATCTTTTTTCCACCTGCTTCTTGTCCTGAGGTTCCGGTTTGAAATGCTACTTTCATTTTGCAGTGGGGATGTTAGAGCTGCCGTGTTGCAGTCTTTATATTTTGACTTGATGCCCCTTTTAGACAGTACAGTAAAATCAAAGTCCTCTGGTTTAAGAGACGTCTCTTCATTTTTGTGAAGATAATTAGCAAGTGAACTTTTGGATCTGAACTTCAGTCCTTGTGGGCTAAAAATGATATTAAAGGAAACATTGATAGTAAATAAAAGTGACTTTTAAAAAGAATCAGACCACATTTCAGATGCTTAATTAATAATTTCCAAATGTTGCCAGGGGTATTTGTCATTGAAAATAAAAATAGTGATAAAATGGTATTTTTAAATAGTTTCCTCTATGAGGAGGAATATGATACTATAAAATAATTTTACAAATATAACTTAAGTGCAACTTTATCATTAACCATTCACAGTAGGAGAAAAATGCATGTACTTGTCCCTAAATCACTTGATAAAACTAACCAGTGACACTGAAGGAATAGAATCCATAATGGTTTTATGGTAATAATAGAAAAAAGTCAAGATACCTGCTATGCTTTCCCACTACCTGTTTCAACAAAATTATTTGGCTGTACTATCTTTACCATTTTGCATTGCTCACCTGATAAAGTATACATCATATCTTCCGGCTGTTTTTCCAGATAACCTTTGCTTCACAACTCTTTCCCATCCACATGGGACAGACTTATGGCATTCTGTCATTTCAGCACCACCACACTGAGCAGAAGCAATGGGTTCTTGCAGCAAGGGATTGCACTCACTGCTGCTGCTTATCACCATTTGTTTTTCATCTTCTACTCTTTCTGATCCCAGAACATTTTCCTTGCTGAAAAAACAAAGTACAAATGATTAGCTTATTTAAAATTGATTTTATTCTGCTTATGCAATTTAAATCTATGACAGAGCAAGAACCACATGGTCTAGTTGGATTGTGGGAGAGATTAAAATCAGTATGGACCAGTCTTATGCTATGGGAATATCCTTCTGCCACCCACTGTCTTCCTATCTCCAACATGGGTTAAAAAGGGTTGAAAATCTCTACACAATGAAAAGCTCAAGCTATTTGCTAGAAACTTTTTAAAATTAATCATTCAGTAGAGCTATTATAAAGACTTCTGGTGACACTGGCATGATTTTAAAAATACGAACCAAATGCTGAGCTCAAGCTAGGATCAACAGACCTGCTTAAATGAGTCAGTGAAGAACCCTCCTCTTCCCCAAATAAGTGAGGTAAAAGTGTTATGTAGACATGCATTTTTCTTGGGGAGAGTATCACTTTCATCAGATTACTTACCAAAAGGTAATTTATGACACAGAATTTTCAAGTCTCTTTCATTCTTGAGCCTCATAATCTTATGAGGTAGGTTGGATAAAGATTACTCTAATTTTATTGATAAAATTGAGTGACAGGAAGATTAAGTTATTTGCAGAGCTGATATCAGAACCCAGGTCTACTAAATCTAATACTACTCCCCCTGTACTATTATTGAAAAACTTCAGTAGAGTATATCCTAATCACTAAATCACACATTTCAAAAACTGAATGGGTATAATGATGTCCAATACAACTTCCTTTCTAGAAATAGGGAAACTAAAGAGCTAGTGACCAACGAAAATTAGAATCAAGGTCTTCTGACGTAATTTGGGGCCATGTAATTTTGGGAAGCTCGGTGGATCTTGAGAAATTACATAGTTCACAATTTTAGAGATAAGGAGACTGAAATCTGGTGAAAAGAGTACAAACTTTAAAGTCAACATACTGGGTTCAAATCCCAGCTCTGCCATTTACTCGCTGCAGGTCCAAGAACAAGTTACTTAACCTCTCAGTCTCCTTTCCTCATCTGTAAAAAGGAGGTAATACCTTTGAAGGTACTTCTGAGGATTTCATTTCCAAAGAAAAGTAAGTAACTCATCTTAGCCCCAGATTGCACATACACAAGTACTCAATACATGACTGTAGCTTCCTGTTACTGCTCACAGGACCCATTTTTGGGGCGCTCTTGGCTGCTTAACATGACATCTCCTTCCTAGGATCCTCCTACTCAGTAGACGTCTCCTGGTACCAATCCCTGCTCCTCCCAGCCCTCTCGGCATTTGGGTGAGGAAGTCGGGGGCACCCCAGGGCTGACCCCACCGGAATAGTACTGAGTTCCAGCCTTAATTCCTAGGAAGGAGCCCTTGAGCCTCGAGGTCCCTGTGGACTCCCGGGAGGCCCACCCACCTCTACTCCCCCGCTCCCACGTTACAAGTGGTGAAACTGAGACCCGAAAGGGGACAATGACTTGCCGGAGGTCCCACGGCCGGTCTGGGTCTGGGTTCTCACTAGCGGTGACGGAGGGGGCAGCTCCACTGTCTCCCAGGCTCGGACTCTCCATCCCAGCCGTGCCCGTCCAGCGGACTCCGGCTGCACCAGCGGGCCAACAGGGAGCGACGCCCAGGGCGTGGAGCAGAGTAAGAGGTGAAAATTCCTTCGGCTCAGAATGCTAGGCTGAAACCTAAAGCTGAGGGCGGCAAAAACCTGTCAAACTCCATACAGCCGCTTTCTGGCCGCCCACTTGGCCTCAGCTAGTTCCACCGCTCGGCCAATGAAGTCCTCTGTCGAGGGAGACGCACCGCCCTCCGCCCATTCTGACCAATCGAGCGCGCCCCAGTTGCGCAGACGCCTGCTAGGCTCCAGTTCCTTCCCCGCTTTTGCCCCTTTACTAGCCCTCCTTTGCAGACATGCGCACTCGGAACGCTGCGCGCGCGTAGCTCACTGCGCATGTGCGTTGTCAACGGTAACTCAGGTAGCCGAAGTGGCGGGCGGCGAGGGCCGAGTTGCTGAGGCGGGGAGGAGGGGCCCGAGGCGTGAGGGAAGGCGCAATGAGGGCCGTCTTGACGTGGAGAGATAAAGCCGAACAGTGGTGAGGAGCGGGGCATTCCGGGAGGAACGGGAGGCCCAGCCCCGGCGGGGATGGCGGTAGCCTTGGCGAGAACTCCTGTGGTTGCCAGGGGCAACGGGCCGGCGGCCTAGGCGGAGGGCGCTGAACCCCGGGACTGGGTGGCTGCGAGGTCGCTCCCCGACCCCTTTGCAGATGGAGAAACTGAGGCTTGGAGAAGGGGCAGAGAGGAATGTACACATATCACAATTTGGCCCTTATGCCCATTACGCCCTGGGCTCCTTTTACATCCATGACATGTTTCTCCAACTTACTTGCCTTATCCACATCTCTTATTTACTTGATGTTTTTCTCTAAATGGTCTCTCTTATGTTCGCCTAAATAATATTACTTGCTAAAATAAGATAACTGTAAAACCTAAGCAAGGAGCCCTGGCCGAGTTGCTCAGTGGGTTGGAGCGTCTGATACGCCAAAAAAGTTGAAGGTTTGATTTCAGTTAGGCACATACCTAGGTTGTGGGTTCGATTCCCTATGGGAGGCAACCGATGGATGTTTCTCCTCTCTCTCTCTCGCTCTCTCTCTCTCTCTCCCCCTCAGTTGGTTGAGGGTGGTCCCATGCATCAGAAGGTCGCAGGATGGAGTCCTACTCAGGGCACATGCCCAGGTTGAGAACTCCATCCCCAGTAGAGGGCGTGCATGAGGCAGCGAATTATGTTTCTCTCTCATATGAGGCGGCGAATCCATGTTTCTCTCTCATTGATGTTTCTATCTCTCCCTCTCTGAAATCAATAAAAATACATATATTTTTAAAAAGCATATCGCCAATGAGGATTTAATAAAACTTAAAGCAAGGAGAAACAACTGCTGGTGAGTTGCAGCTAGATACTGTTGCTATGGAGCCTTTAAGCCTGAGGTCTACTATCGCTAGAACTGGAGATTTAGCACATATGGTCAGAGAGGTGCTTGAGATGAATAGCATCAAACCCAGACGTTCCCCTGTGCTTAATTAGAAGGTTTGAAAGAGAATCAAAAGAGAATGACACTCTCACCTTGTGATTCTCTTATTTAATGCCCTATTCCATTTTTATCACCTAAATTCATCACACAGTGACACATTTTGGGAAATACTGACTTACTGGATAGTTCTCCTCAGCCTGAGTTTTAAAATCCTCACGTAAATGATCTTTTCAGCTTCATTGTGAAGCCTCTGTTTTGGTCCTTGACACACAATATTTGCCATTCCCTCTCAGTCTTTTCTGAGGCCTTTCTGTGTGGCATAAGTATGCCTTCTTTCCTCATCTCCTCACATTGAGACCCTTAAACATCTTGTAGATGATTGCTCTGTTTTGTACTTTGCACTAGTAATAGCTAGCACCATGTGCCAGGCACTGGCTAAGGACATCCTATCTTGGATCTCATTGTCACCTTCCAACAACCCTCTGATGTAGGTACTATAATTACCTCTATTTTACATGTGAGGAGACGAAAGCACAGAGAGGGTAAAGAATTTGCCAAGCTCACACAGTGAGTTAAGTGCCGGAGCCAGCATCCAAGCTCAGGTCTTCATTCCAAAGCTAATGCTTTTATCCACTACATTAATTTTCCTTTGTGTTATAGGGTCTGCAAACTCAAATGCCTACAAGAGTCAGACAGGCAACATAAATGGGAGATGTTTGTGCGTCTCTTATGTACAAGGAATTGTCTTCTCCTTAAGAGTGTTCTTCAATTCTACAACCCACTTGAAACACATAGCTTATCACTTCTACTCTTTAATAGAGATTTGAGTTTTAAAAAATTCCTTTTTACTTTTAATTCTATTATAAAAGTACCCACAGCACAAGATGATATCTGACAACTGAACATTTGGCTTTGATGTCAGAGAGTAATAGGGAGTGGCAAAGAGTGTGGCAAACTAGAGAGCTCATGCTCTGCCTAAAAGGGACAGCTGCTGTTCAGATGTGGCCAAATACCACCATGCAGGAATTGGCCTACTATGCTCAGAACTACCCCATCATACAACCCACAGGTGGCAGGTGCTTTGCATAAGGCTTGCCTATGCACAGATCTCTATCTTGTTTTGTAGGTGAGGACAAAAGCTCAGATAAGGTCAGCTCTTCTGGGCCCAGCTCCTCTTTACTTTTCACTTTTTCACAGTATCTCCCCAGTTCTCCCCAGTGAGAAATGCGCCAAGTACATTTTCCCCTGGAAGCAGAGAAAGAAAGCCTGAGAAACAGGAAGACCCAGTCTGTTGCCATGTAACAGTGAGGAAACTGAGGCCTGCCTGGGGGCCCCCGGCTCTGCGAAGCGAGGCCTGCCTGGGGGTCCCGCCGCTTCCCATGCTAAACTTTTATAATAGGCTGTCTTGGCAGTCACCTGAACCAATGAAATCCTCTGGGGCTTCAAGAATCTTTGTAATATGGCTCCTGCCTGTTTTTCTAGCCTTATCTCTTCCTACTGCCTTGCACATAGCCAAGTGTTTCAGTCAAATTTGATTACTTACTATGCCCCTTCACATCTTTGTTTTTGTTCTTTGCCTGAAATGCTGCACCTACCCAATCTCTGTGTGTCTCAAAAATCCTACCTTTTAAAAATACTGTTTTCTTCATGAAGCTTTTTCTGATCCTCTTTCCAAATCAGAATACTGTGTCTTCCCCCTCTAAATCCTATAGTATATGTTCTAATGCAGTGGTTCTCAGCCTTGGCTGCACATTAGAATCACCTGGGAATCTTTTTTTTTTTTAAATATATATTTTATTGATTTTTTACAGAGAGGAAGGGAGAGGGATAGAGAGTCAGAAACATCGATGATAGAGAAACATCGATCAGCTGCCTCCTGCAC